GGTCTTACAAAGTTCCGGGTTGGTCTTCCGGGTAAGGGGTTGATTTTCATTTGGGGGTTAATGCACTATGGAACCACCCGACCAATTTAGTGAGCTCATTAAGGCCTAGTAGCGTCTGTTTTCTGTAATGCAAATGGCTGCGGGGGCAGGTTATGGGATCAACCCTCGCTCTCGTATTTATTTTGTCGCGTTTATACCACTTTTAAGGATAAAGCTCGACGCCTTTCATTTTTCAGCTGAATCGGCGTCAGGATTTTACCACATTACAGTTTCGCGTAATAGTGGCTATAAGTTGACTGTTATCAATTGTAGGCATGCAACTGTAGTGCAATTAATGAGATGTTCGCTCCGTGCAGACGTGCAGCTATTTATTATTCTGTGAAAACTGTGCGGCTGAAATAAAATTATAGCTGTTTATTCATTTCTAAAATCCCTTCAACAATCAAACATCTTTAAACCCTTACGAAATAAGTAGATAATATCTATTCATTCCCCAACCTCGTTTGGTTTATTATGTTACGCAGAGCTATTCATCGAAAAGCGTATAAAGGAATGGGGGTTGCCTAATTCAAGAATTTGTATTTGCATTTGAAATGTCATATCAGATTTTTTCGATTTTGTGTTCATAACAGATCCAATACGGTGCAAAAAATAACGCTTTTTTGTCGTTCTAGTGATGTATGTCACTGAATTTCTATATATTTTTTGAATAGTAGTCAGTATTATTTTACACAAGTTACATCGATAATAATTTGTTTTTGATTCAGTATTGAAATTTGAAATCATAAAATTTACGGTCATTCCCCTTTCGTGAAATTGTTGCCGGTAAAAAAATTCTTAATTTGAAAATAGCGAAGGGAGCCTTTTGTATGTGCACTTGAAGGGTTATCTGTAAACTATTTAAACAAAATCAATAAAAAAAACAGATACATTTGGGCCACTACAAAAGTTATACCCTTCTCAATACAATAATAATGAACGCTCCTTTTAAATAAAATTTTACATTTATTTATAATTAGGGGTTTTTCAAAGATGCCGAATTTTTTCCTTTTTAAGTAACTCCTGGATATGGAATATATTTGGGGCACTACGAAAGTTACCCCCATCTCAATACAAACGGGGTTATTCAGTAAGACCAAATTTCTAAACAAAAGTCTTAATTGGAAAACAGGGAGGGGTGACTTTCGTATGTGCACTTGGAGGGTTGTTTGTAGACTATTTAAACAAAATCAACCAAGAAACAGATATACTTGGGTCACTACAAAAGTTACACCCTGCTCAATACAATAATGAGGTATTTTTAAATTATAATTAAGGGTTTTTTATTCCTTTTAAATGGCCCATAAAAAAGTACATACAGTTTTTTATTACAAACACAACTATGTACGGCACACAAACAAACAACCTGTTGGTGTCAACAGGACGGTGCACCCATGCACAACGGGCCGAAGTTTCAAGTATGTAACTTTTTTTACTCACTAAATAGGTAAAAATTAATTTTATGAAAATACGCAATCCAAAATCAATGACCTAGCTAGTGAAATAGCCCTTTGGTGTGCTATTCCATCTCGGGATGTTAAATTAAAATTTTAAATTAAGGTTGTCTGACCCTGAATCGGGAAGCTTAAAAAACTTGTGCCCATAATAAAATAATAAAATGAATAAGTAAAAAGTTCAGACAAAGTAGAGGTGGGTCGGGGTGAGTAGGGGGGTCCTGGTACACTAGCAAAAACGAAGCAAAGGGGAATATAGTAATAGTAAACCGGATAGGTTAGGATTTAGTCTTTAGTAAATTTCAAAAGAGAATATACTTACTTACAAAAAGGCAGACTAAGAGATCCTTTGTAGTCTTGATAAGTTAAAGAAATAAAATAATTGACAGGGATGAAGGAACATGAATAAGAATTTATGTCAAAATCGAGGGTAGTTTAATAAATACTCTCAAGAATATTACAAATAGGACACTGTAATCTAGATCCGAAACGTCAATATTTAAATTTAGATTAAGTTTTTAGCAAGAACAAAAGAAAGGATCGACATTTAGTCAAGGAAATTATTTAAATCGAAACAAGCTTCCGCAAAAAACAACGGAACTATAATTGTTAAGTGGCTATAAAAAAAAATGTAGTAATTACAATATTGTATCGAAAACCAGTACGTAAGCAAACGTTATGTTGAGGAACCGCGCAAAATTAAAAAAATTACCTTTGAACTTCAGGAAGCAACGGCCTTGTGAGTTCAGAAGAGCGCATTCTCCCTTGCCTGTCACAGATAAGAAATTAAACAAACCAATAAGATGGATAGTGAATAGCGCGGCACAATAATATTGCGCAAATCCGCAAAAAAGATTCAGGTAGACACTAAGTCAAGTAACGGCGTACCTCAAAAATAAATTGGATGCTACCAATATGAAGGCAAAATTTTCATAGTCCGAAAGAATACTCAGGTAGAAATGAAAAGATCACAACCTCTAGCGACGAAAATAACAACTAAGGAAATAACACTTTAATGTCCCTTAAAAACTTCAACACAAATGTGGACCAGTTGAGACCATTTTGAGCTTTTAGAAACATACATTTTATTCAACCAATACGTGAAATATCAGTTAGTTCGTATTTCTCTTGGTTTTTTAAGTTAATTTATCAACAGACAATCCAAATTACAATCGGAGGTTCGTTTTTTAATAAAAACCCTGCATATAGGTCTTATTCAGGTGTACAAACTTTATGCGAAATAGTTCATCGTGCGGTTCCATGTTTTAACTCGATGAAATGCCTTAATTAGAAAGAATTAGGTTTATATTCGATAAACCTAGCTGCCCTAGTTTCTTATACGTCAAATCTATAGTTGTAATATATTTTACAAAAATAAAATTATTATTATTATTACCCAACGGCCTTCATCTCTAATACAATAAGAATACAAGTGTCCTCAAATCGATTCTACGACTACACCACAGATGACCCAACACCCTAGTGGCCGTACTAAGAATGGCAAAAAAATTAAAGAGACAGATAAAAAAGTCCATCGTAAATGTAACTTTTGATAGCCGGATATATCAACGCGTCAACATAAAAAGAAGAACATAAACAAACATCGCAAACAAGACAGAGAAACTGAAACTGTCACAAACGGTTTGTTGACTAAGTATCACGCTTCGATAGATAAATCCTAGATATCAGCGTCAAAATCTGAAGCTTTCTCCGTCTTAATCATATAAGTGGAAACTAAGGACGTCACGCATAATGGAATTCATCAAAATTAATTTTCATTACGAGTATTTTATCGGGTTTATATATCGCTGGTAAGTATTCATCTTTGGTTAAATTTGAATTAAATCTCCGATACACCAAACAATGACCCTAAATTTACGTTCCATGAGCTAAATGAACATGACATGATGCTGGATTAAATTGCGATCAATATAAAATGAGCACGTGTTTCACTAGCTGCAAAATTTACTAAAATGTAGAATATTAATGCCCGACGAATTAAGGACTATTGGACTTTTTGAGGAAGCCCATTTCGCACAGAACATTCAATTTATTTCATATTGTCAAAGAATAAAAGTTATTACTCACTTTCAATTTCTCATTCTATTTGTGTTTTGCAACAACGTTATAATGGTAAGTATATTCCGGGATCTTCATCCCTACCACTAACGTTAAACTTAACGTGCAGGTTATCTGTCAAAAACGTCACCTATTCTAAATAACGCAAAATTTTTGGCAGATAACCTGCACGCTAAGTTTTACGTTTCCGATACATCACAGGGCTGATTGTTGTGTAAACAACACGTTATTTCGGTCTATACACCAAACATAAGGACGGGATATCCTGTATGTGAGGGTTCTTTCAATTTTTAAAGTAAATCTGGGGGATCATTAACGAAATAGGTACATAAGTTAGTTCGTTTCGTTTCGATTTGTACATCTTAGAACTGTATTAGTTTTATTTTTATCGCTCTTGGAATTTATTCAATTTAGGTAAGGGGAAGACACATCTGGTCGATTGCGATAGGGAGTTTTATTATCAGGCGAAATTTAAGCAACGCACGTGTTCTGGCGCTATTGAGGTGATGCAGATATTTTGTAACGGGAGACGGCCTTCAGTATACTTGGAAACCGCGGCCTGTGGATCAACTAGAGAGTTCTACGGCGGAAGGATGACAGCCAGCAAGATACATTTGCAATTTTTAAAACAAAGAACTGAATTGATGATTAATATGAATATAAATAATATTTATTACATGCAACATTTGAATAATTATTAATCAACAACAATTAATTCGAATGCTACCCTCCCCAAAATAATACGCTCAAAATAATTGAAAACTATCTGTCTTACTCCCGAAGAAAATCCGTAGCCAAAAATGCGCTGAAAATCAGCCATGTAGCGATAAGTCACTTTTTTCCGTAGCCAGCTTTCCGTCTACTAGTGAATCAATATCGTGATAAACGTGCCCTTTACGCCTTAGTGAATTATTTAATTGTGGATTATGATCCTAATTATAAACAATCAGAGCGCAAGCACACAAACACATTAATTTTATTGAGGGTGCTGTCAATTGTAGAGTTGTCAAGAACAGTTCACTCAGAGATATTAAATCTGATTTCGAACTAGTCTATTACTCTCTTTAATTTAAACAAAACAATGCAACATAAAACAAACAGGCCATTTAATAGCCGTTATTGAGTATTCTAACAGTAATGTTTTCAAGCGTTCTCTGGAACAACTAAATTTTGCCTATATGCATTCAAATGCGTTGTTACGTCCGACATTCCGGAATATTCTACAACCTGAGCCTGAACGTGCACATTATTGGAATTCAATACATCAAAAAGCTTCCCTACAGTTTGATTTGCAATTTTTATTAAGCTTCCTTAGTTTTTGTCGAAAGTCTCATAAAACGCACGTTGTATCTCAATTGTAAGTGAAACAACAAGAAGCCGCTTCATAGTTCTCTCACGTTCCCTACATTCAGGCAGCAGGTCATAAAAATGTTGTACTCCGCCTCCATCGCCGATCGTAATTTCTTTAAATATTTCATTTTGCTTGAATTTTATCGAAACCTTTACATCAAGCGGTTTTATTCTGGATCTTTGGCAGTGGAAACCCTATTTCTTTTCCCAATGCCATTTTACCTACCTACTCTTTCATGTTACCTATCTATCTGACAACGTTTTTTTTAATTACTAATTTGTTTAACAAATAGGATTAATTGTATTCTTTGTTACAGTGTGCCACCTCCTCAGAAGCGGAGTAGCGGCCATATTTGGTCCTCAATCTGCTCATACTGCTAGTCATGTGCAGTCAATATGTGACACAATGGAAATCCCTCATCTAGAAACGCGTTGGGATTATAGGCTTCGCAGGGAAAGTTGTCTAGTCAACCTGTACCCGCATCCCAAAACGCTATCAAAGGTTTGATATATGTGCATAGTTAAAACAAGTTTTCCCTAGTTCATCTATAATTACCTACTGATAAATTACTTATTCATTTGCGTACACCGAATTTTCTCTTTTAAAAATACAATATTTCCGTTTTAATGGCCAAAATACATCATAAATTTTAACGATGAGTAAGTGAGATCCTTCCAAGCTAATAACCGTCATTACTCGCAAGTCAACGAAAATTCGGGTCTAGGAAATTAATCTGAAGGTACAAAATACGGCGGGTTTTGCAAATAAACTGTTTTCGCTTCGAATAGTGCCCAAACAAACTACTAACAGAATTTAAATGTGTGATGTATAATTTGTATTGACGCTAGTATATTTATAGTGTTTGTGTAAATTTACGTTAGTTGCCATTAAATAATGTACGATGACGGATGCGTATAATTCTGAGATCAATAGTGCCATTAATGGTACAGAACTGATGCAAATACGAGTCGATCCGACAGAATCCATTTCTATACGCAAGACCTAAATATGCACTCCCTCAATCTCGGGTAAGCAGTATTTTGAAAAATACGAATTTCGCATTGTAGTTCCTATGCCACATGGCTCACTATATCACCTGATAATATCATTTTGAAGCCAATTTATTACTATTCACTCCAACCGCTAATGGTTTTGTCAACTTTAAAACTGAATAATTTGCTCCCCTTATCGGAAGACCTTAAGACCTTCCGACAGACTCCCTGCCCTTCTACGACGGGGGACTTTCAATCCTGCCTCGAGTCCTAACATCAATAAAGTGTCCCCACCTTCATGCACCCTTTTTCCCTCGTTAAGTACTCATTTACTGAACCAAAGGGTGGCCAGTTTCAAGTGACTTATCACTTTAAACCCATAACCGAACTGTATTTTAAATATTGGAAACAAATGTTTGTAAAAGGTTCAAAGAGGTACGCATGAAATGACTTCGGAATGTGAGCTCTTTCTATCGTCAGAGAATCCGTACAGAATCTTAAGAAATCTGTATACTATCTGTATAAAATGCAATCAGCACAAATACGTTTAATCTACCATTTCTTTAGTTGAATCATTGTATAAAAAAATTACTTACAATGGTCGCTATGGCGGTTCTCTGGTCATAGTTTTCCAGGCCATGTGAACAAGTCAAATTTTTAAAAGAGAAAAATGGAAGATCAGCGGGAGACCAAAAGGAAAAGATCAGTATTCTATTAGCCAGGTTTGACTCCACTGGAAGTTCCCTAAGGTTCCCACATTCCCTTTATCGGCACCGACTTGCAACGCCCCAGTTGCTCTCATCGCTTTTAATTCCATCATTAGTAATAGATCTTGTCGGAGGCTACTGCATTTCTTCTATTGGTACTCACTTTCGACGTCCCGTTCACCCGCAATTCTCATTTTGGTAGAAAACAGTACTCAATTTTTGATGAACATGTCATAGGTTGAGACACGAGAAAGAGAGACCGCCATTCGAGCTTTAAGAGACTTTTTGACATCTGAAGTCGACCACTCCACGATCAATCGACCAATCACTATACGTGAGTCGACCCACGCTCAGGGATGGCGCCCAGATGTCGCCGACCCCACATCATGTATCCCCGTCCCTAGTCTTGTTAATTAGATGGACCGTTGGTTACACGCACACTCTTCGTATTTGCAACGGGTGAAGCACATCAGCCCTGATTGCTGCAGCTGCAGAATGGTATCTTCTTAGTCTTCTTAGTCATTTTTTAGTATCCCATTCTTATTCACTGACCAACCCCAAACCGTTGGTACTAAATCATTTCCCACCCACGTCTGGAGCTGATTCTGATACTAGGTGGTGTAGATTTTTTCCATTGCAGTAACTTTTGCAACGCTGAGCACTAATCATATAGCTCTACGGCAACAGTCACGCAAAGAAAACAATATGGAACGTCTATAACGTCAGAAATGTTTACTCACGATCTCGTTACCACTTGGTGCCGATATTGTTTTTCATCACAAACACAGTGAATTATTATTAGTTCACACAATAGATTAGATTCGATCATTAAACGATAGATCCCACTTCTGATTTGTAACATATTTCTCAAATAAAACAAAAACGCATGATAGCACTGAATGATTTAATAACCGACTAATAATGCGGACATCCTTATCGTGAAGACAGTCGTAAAGACGAACACCACTCGCTCAGGTGGTCAGGATAAGTTCTCGTCGGGGACCATATGGCACATGTAACAAGCCTATTGAAAATTATTACAAAGACTGAAGCAGTTTATTTCAATTGTGATAAAAAAAAATTTAATTAGCACTTTGACTACCTAAATTTGGAGGTATATATTTTATATATTTTGTTTATAATGGAACATCAAAGGTAAATTTTAAAATGTGGCCTTAATCGCGAGTGCTTGAAGCAACAATCAAGCAAAAAGTCCATTATAAGCGAGGAAAACCATTGAACGAAAACATCAAACATCCGAGAAGGTAAATAGTATCACGCGAATTGCTAAATGTAAACACCTTTAAAATGGTATATCGACAAGCACTAAAACAGACATTCATTTCGGGATAACATCTCTTTTGGGAATGCACGTGTGTCAATATAATCTCGACAACAGTCAAACGTATTCTACGATGAATTCCAAAGGAATCTAGGCACCAGTATTTTTAGGTTTAGGTCTTTTCTGAAAACTATTTTTTGTAAGGATTGTATCGAAAGATAGTTTCCAAGTATCCTCGATGCACGGAAAAACGATTTTCCCGCACTACGGTGTTTTTTAGTTTCCGCTGGAGAGAAGGGGTTATGTGCGTTCTTCAGTTGGTAGTACTTATTGAGATTGAGGCCCGATTAATACAAACGTCATGTCATGGTTAAGTGTCATTTGCTGTAAAACCAATTAAACCGTTGAGGGTATTTAATGATAATAATAATAATAATAATATTTATTGTGCTGTTGTGATGGTACACTTACACTTGGTCATGGTAAAAAAATGTATATAACACGTAAAAAAAAAACAGTCAGACAAACGAAACTACCAAACATAAACTTCAACAAAGTTACACCCAATTATCACGAAACTCTTCAAATTCTTCAAAGGAGTAAAAAGAATACTGTAAAAGAGTTTGCTTTACTTTAGATTTAAAGGTCTTCAACGGTAAATGCTTTATATCTGCGGGTAACCGGTTATAAAATGACTGCGACTGGAATGTTATGCCATTCTGTGATTTGGCTAACCTACAAAACGACAATCGAAGATTATCTTTTAACCGCGTATTATAAGAATGCACTTCTGATTGATTATGATGAGATTAATCGCAAAGAGACGTACCTAAGTTTTAAGTAAAATATTGTTATGTGTACTGATCCGTAGGCCAGAAAGACCGTACACAAAACACCAAAACACAAACCTAGTTAGCTCTTTTCCTTTTATTTATTATCACGGCACAAAACTTCTCCCCAGCACAAAGGAGAGATTCGACTCTGCTCTCAATTAACCTGTTAACTTTTAAAATATAGTGAATCGGACCAAATACCTTTTTGAATAACTAAAATGGACCTTGGGCAAGCATCCAATAAAAACTGCAGGTAAGTTAGAAATGAAGTCGTTAGAATGAAACACACGGAAAATTAATGTGAGAACTACAAAAGTGCGATTCAATCATAACACAGACAAGGAAAATGGTACAAACACGCAAACAAAAAGACTAAAATTAAGACTTAATTAATTACATTACATGTCCGGGAATTGTATCCGTACACAAAAAACAATTACACTTTATACCAACGACATATCGGATAATCGCATCAACTTCACCTCACTGAACTTCAAAATGAGTCACGTTGAAAAACACACTTATGGGGGCACCGACAAAACCTCTCCTTGAAGCTCCTTATTAGATGGCCAAAACTTCAAAACGTCGAACAACAATTAGCCGTATATTTGGCTTCCGGCTAGGCAAACGGAACTTCTTTGAACTTCAAACTCACACTAGGCGAAACTTTCAATGCTGGCTGTATCTTCAACACAAATAATCCACAATGGAACTCGCAAAAAGCGAAATAAGTTCCTCTACGAAGCGTAACTCGGTGCTGAACGTAGCAAAAAGCTGATTTAAAACTTTAACGAAACGTGGTACTGCCTCGACTCGATTTTAAATTTCAATGAAACGTAGTTCCGCTCCCAACGTGGCAAAAAGCGACGCTCTTCCTCTTAACGTTCTATTTAAAGCGAAAACCCTTCTTCCGAAAATCAAAATTATAACAACCAATCCACCCTTGACCTTGACCCTTGACAACAAAGACTATCCCCTCAACGTATAGGTCAAGAAAAATAGAGGTCGACTAAACAATTTCTTATCAGACATTAATTACCTTAAATTCTAGGAAAAATAAAAATTCGTCCGTTTTAACTACACAGAAAAAAAGCGATAAATCACATCCACCTGTCAATTACATTAAGCATTTACATTTGATAACAGATAAAGACTAAACACAATTCCCAGAAATTTCTACGTTAAATAAAATAAAAATGTAAACAAAAACAACCTTGACCGCTTTCTCGTGTGACAATAATTTCTATGCTGTTACATAGACCAATGACAAATTACTAAAATTTAATTACAAATGTTAATTACACAAGAAGGAGACCGCCCTTGTCCATCTTTATTAAGATGTCCGAAAATTTCATCCTGCCAGACGAAATAAACACAGCAATATAAACAAGAACTTATAACGTAATGAAATTATTTTTCAGAAGTGGAACTCAAGAAAAAGTAAAATTTATTGTTAAAAAGTCTTAAGATGTAACCAGTGGTATTACGCAACGAATCGCATATTCAGTTTAAGAAAGCAAGAATGTTAACACACAGATAAATCAAATTACGATCAGCACAATTACGCGACCAATGAAAGCACTCTTTTCAAAGCGCATTTGTTAACTCGCAAGTCTTTCAAGGACCCAAGATTTAAATGTGACCAGTGCGATTATGAAGTAGTGGGTAGTTATAAAATTATGTTACC